TGAGCTGAGCCTGGGAGTGTAGACTTTGTCCTAAGGGCAGTGAGGAGCCATGGAAGCTTAAATAGACAAAGCTGACCTAGAGTTGCATGTTTAAAACCTCCCTTTGCTGTTACATGGAGAAAGACCGTAGGGGCCAGACGGGATCAGAGACCAGGCAGAGACTGCCACACTGCCCAGGCAGAAGGAGCGGGCCTGGACTGGGGCTGCAGCTTCAGAGGCAGACAGAAGCGGGCTAGTTAGGAATTAGTCAGATGTGAGTGCAGTCATGCCTGCTAAGTGCTGGCCCTGCTTCCACCTTTGCCCCTTACTGTCTATGCTCCATACGGCAGCCAAAGCAACATTGGTTAAAGCGTTAGGTCCAGGTCACACCACTCCTCTGGCTTCCCATCTCAGAGTAAAAGCCAAAGTCCTCGCCATGGCTTACAGGGGCCAGCACGGTCCGCCTTCTCACCCCACAGCTGACCTCATCCACTACCGCTGGCCACCTCGCTCCACTCCAGACACACTGTGCTATTCCTGCAGCAGGGCAAGCACACGCCTCCTCTCCCCGCCCAGGGCCTTTGCTCTTGCCGGTCCCTCCACCTGGAATGTAATGCCCCGAGATACCTACACAGGTGCTCCCTTGACCCCTCAGGTCTCTGCTCAGATGTCACCTTATCTGTGAAGTCTTTCCAGATTCTTCTATGAAGGGGTCTCTTATCCTCTCAAAGGCCCTCTTTATTTCCTTGATAGCACTGCTGACACTGTGTACTTACCTGTTTGTCTAAAAGACGCTCCTACTGTAGAGTACAATGCCTGGCACATGGTAGGTTCTTCGTAAATATTTCATTGAATGAATGGGTTGAGGTTAAAGATGAAAGAGGGAGGAAGTTACCTTGAAGGGCTTACGCCATCTTGAGGGCTGAGGCAGGATACTCATAGACACCGGGAGTGGGAGGCAAGGAGGGAGGTGGGAGGCAGGGAGTCCCAGTGTGTGCGTGTGTGTGTGTGTGTGTGTGTGAGAGAGAGAGAGAGAGAGAGTGAGTGAGTCCC